TCTCTAATTTACATAGAAGACAAAATTCTGTGAAGAAAATAACTTAATCTAACTCCATTAATTTTCTGCCTTAGAAAAGACTTCATAGGATCTGAAAGTTGAAGGAAATGGTCCCACTTGCCCAGCTCAAATCTCTGATTTGACCTTTATGTTTCTTGTTGCCATGGCTGTCTCTAAAAGATCTCAACTTTACCTGGCATTTACAAAGGATTCTTTAGTCAGAAATGACATCTCAGAAGCTAACTTAAAATGTTGAGCTTCCTGGCTTGATGCCTATAGCTCAAATGGCTCAGGTACCAGCCACATACACCAGAGCTGGCGGGTTCAAATCCAGCCCAGGCCTGCCAAACAACAATGACAACTGCAACCAAAAAATAGCCTGGCGTTGTGGCCAGCACCTGTAGCCCCAGCTACTTGGGAAGCTGAGGCAAGAGAATCACTTAAGCCCAGGAGTTGGAAGTTGCTGTGAGCTGTGATATCACAGCACTCTACCCAGGACGACAGCTTGAGGCTCTGTCTCAAAAAAAGAAAAAAAAGTTGAACTTCCTGGGGGTGCCTGTGGCTCAGTGAGTAGGGCAACAGCCCCATATACCAAGGGTGGCAGGTTTGAACCCGGCCCTGGCCAAACTGCAATCAAAAAATAGCCAGGCTTCTGGCCGGTGCCTGTAGTCCCAGCTACTCAGGAGGCTGAGTCAAGACAATCACCTAAGCCCAAAAGCTGGAGGTTGCTATGAGCTGTGACACCACAGCACTCTACTGAGGGCAACAGAATGAGACTCTGTCTCTAAAAAAAAAGAAGTTGAGCTTCCTACATGTATTTATGATCCTGCTGAGTGCCTAAGACAACATATGAGGCACCTGTATTTCTAGGCATAGTAATATAACTAAAAAAGCTGATGTAAAATGTGAAATCGTTAGAATTTATCTCGTGCCTTGCTCCTTTGCTGTTCAGAGCATTATATATATATATGATTTCATTGACTTTCTCAGATTTTCATTTTTTTATGTTGTCAAAACAAAATATATTGGTTCAGTGCCTATAGCTCAGTGGTTAAGGTACCAGCCACAAACACAGGGGCTGGTGGGTTCAAACATGCCCAGGCCTGCTAAACAGCAATGACAACTACAACAAAATAGCCAGCTTGGTGCCCATAGCACAGTGGTTACCGCTCTAGCCACATACACCAAGGCTGGCAGGTTCGAAACTGGCC